TCGCTTAAGGTAATGTTCCTTCTGCTCATTATGTCATTAAAGGAAAATAATAAAATATGAATTATTATTTGACTGATATATATCCAAAATAATCCATCATTACGTAAACAATTTAAGAGCAATGTGGTTCGAAGAAACTATATTTTGCAATAAAACAAAAAACATGTAGAAAAGACATAAAACATGCCTTTGGAGCTATTCAATCATGTTTCGCAATTGTAGCAGGATCGACACATTTTTGGAGAAAAAATGTGCTACATGACATAATGATTACATGCTTAATTTTGCATAGCATAATAATCGAGGATGAAAGCGATCTTAATGCACCAGTTGAAGTTGCGAGAAAAGCGTCACCTCTAGAGATCGAAATGATGGTAGATTATAATACCTTATTTCAAGAATTCATTGCTTGCCATAGACAAATCAAGTATAAAGATGCTTACATCGCACTTTAAAATGTATCGATTGATCATTTGTGGGAGTAATATACTGATTCTGATTTATAAATATATATGTATTTTTTAATTTCTATTTATGTTATAATGTAATTTTTATTTTATTTAATAAATATTTATTTGTGTAAGTGTATTTATATTTCAAATTAATTTATCGAGTAATATTTATTTTTGTTAAAAAAAATTATAAGTGGGTCTAATTCAAAAAATTAATAAATATAAGAGTATGGTGGAAAATAGAGATGAAAAAGAATATACACAACATATTCTTTTTTTGTGTTAGAAATGGAGTTCGATTGAATATGCATTACTATTTGATATGACTGTTACTTTATTTTGAAGTGGAAAATAATTTTTTTGATTGGGGAGCCCTAAGGGTTTTTGGCATGCAACATTATTCAATTGATTTAGAGATTTTAAATTAACTAATTGGCAGTTTTGAAGAGTTTAAAGATAAACTAGAATTAATTTAAACTTAAAATAAGATTGATTTTGTGTTAACCTAATTTGCTAATTTAGTTTGAGTAGTCTATAAATGGTGGTTTGAGGTATATGATACACAACTTTTGCTTGAATAAAGTTTCATTTATAATTTTCGATCTTGTGAGTTCAAGTTGGATGTGCTATTCTTTTGAGTGTGGTATAAATGCAACTACTTGATTTCAGGTAATTCATGTTTTTGTATTGCATAAAGCTTAGTGATGCAACATCAATTATGCACACAAGCCTATGACTAGATCATAGACTAGTGCACTACATCAAGATTGTTGATTATTATCATTATTTGCATTCACAAATTTCAAATCGTTGAACCTTGATTTATATGGTTAGCCCCTTCAATGGACTCTCAACTTGTACCTATTTTCAATGCCATTCCACCGTCTAAAACAGACATGATTGGCCCCCTTTCCTCATAAACGACCAACATGTGATGGAAAACAAGGGCGCTCTTTTTCTTTTTATGCTTGGTCGACCATTCTAGGAGAATCAAGGCAATCAAAATATAATTACTCTTTTTCATATTTTTTAGCATAGTTAATCCCCTCTTGACTTACTTTGAAATTTTACCCTCTTGACTTAATGTGAAATTTTATTTTCTTTTGGTCTATGTATGCATATGCAATGAACTCTCTAAGATAGAATAAATAGTTGAAGTTCACTCATGTATGGTTGCAAGTTAGTATTAGCTTGTGTCACATCTTACACTGCCCCCTATCAAACAACGTAGGGTGCAATTGAGGAAAATCATATGTTATAATTACACAGCAATTAATCACTCAATTTTCATAAAAGTAGTTCACATATCTCTGCTTAGGACTCATCTCATAATACAAATAAACATAGATTTTAAATTAATTTGAGTTTAATTAGCTTCCATATATTTATCCTTGCCCTTTCCTGTAATAATCAAAATAAAAATTTGATGAGCTATGATGTTCAAAAAGATATTCAATTCTAATGCAGTATTCTAAGTATATGAAACACAATATTTACATGTGTATCAACAAATGGAAGTAAGAATTATATGTGCTCATTTAAAAGGAAATATGCATAGTATGGAATCATCATGTCCACATGATTAGGTCTAGATTTACATCCCATTGGCATCTGAGGTTACACTGCCTCTATCGCTCGTTGGCTTCATATCATAACCCGTAGGCTCCTAAGGTTGCACAGTCTTTATCATCCGTAGGCTTCCGTAAGCTCCTGAGATCGCACAACCTCTATTACCTGTAGGCTTCATATCATAGTCTGTGAGCTTCATATTATACTGAGGTTGCACTACCTCTACTAGGTCACACTACCCATTAAGGTCGCATTGACCCCTTCACCTACCACCTAACATAATAAATTCTCAGGCTTTTCTGATCATTGTGTTTTCCCTTCCAAGTTGTGTGACACTTGTTTATATATAGAAACATGCATATGCAGACAATTTAATATGGCGATCAAGTGTATCAGTAGTGTATGAATCCTATGTTACGACTCATTGTATAATAAATGAAAGAATTGTACATAGAAGCATCATATAATAAAACAATTAATTTATACTAAAAATGCGTATCTTACCTCCTCGGCATGCAGACTCACCAATTTGGACACCTCGAACCCGCGTGCATGTGTAAGGTACCTTCATCAACTCGAATTATTAATTGAAAATCCTCACATCTATCATTAGACTCATACATTTAATTAAATTCCCAAACAATGTACCTTCCAATTTTTTACATTGCATACATGTCTATAGATACCCATTCATGTTACACTTCGATCGTCCTAATCATCTACTTAGCAATGTTAACTAGAATCATTACATACACAAATCCTACAAATACCTAGAGTCATTAAAGAAAATTCTTACCTTCAAGCACCAACTAACTTTCCCACTAAGTTTTTGTATCTCTTTTTACTTTGTCTTCTCTTCCTTCCTTGATTTCCTCTTCCTACTTAATTTCTTCTCCCTACTTCTTTGATTTCTTCTACCTACTTTCCCATCTTCCAAAATCCACCCTTACCAAACAGCTTCTTCACTCCCCATTTTAACCGACCAACCCAACACCTGCACTCAATCGAGCCCACCACCCGAGCAACTTGCGTCATTTGGCCAACTCCACAACCAGCTGCAGTTTCCGCAGTGGCTACAACCAGCTGTAGGTTTCGATTTGGTCTCCCCTCATCCGCTCCACCATAAAATCAATGACTCCCTCCTTAGCATGGCTCGGTTTAGGCAAAATTTGAATTAAAGGGCTTGAGGTAGGATCTTTACCCTATTGCCCTTCCATCCAAACATGTATGTAAGCCATCTGTCCCACTATCTACCCTTAGCTGCAGTAAAAAAAACATATTTGAACTGTAAAATCATTTCATTACTTATGAAAGGGATTTAATTTCCCATCTTTCTATCTTTCTCAAATTAACCTATAATTCTATATATAGAATTCCTCCAATCAACTACTAGAACACAATGCCATATTTATTGATAACTTTTGAGAAAGTTAAGATTTTTTTGTATAATTTAATTAAAAAAAAATTGTATTTTTATTTGAAAATTTTGGGTATTATAACTTGGTGGCTTGAACCTCAAGAATTTTAGTAAGGTCTTGTTACCTTTCTATGTTCCTTTACTGCTTTACTCCTTTTCTATTCTTTACATTCTGCCAAGACTTATTCTTAGTCTTAGCCGCCATCTATGTTCTCTTTTATAACCCTGAAGTAACCCTAATTACCTGATATCCATTGGGCATCACCTCTCACACAAAACCTAAAAATGAGCTCTCTGGTTCCCATTCCCATAGACCCTAATTCCTACCCTAACACGCCACAAAACTTTCCTCGACCTCTAGTCATATTGAAGACTCCTTACGTATAAGAATTTCATGTTGCGCTGGACTTCTAGCGAGCTTTGAGCTCTAGTATCCACCCACATTTCCATTGATGCTCTCATGTGGCAGAATCCTAAATCACGTTTGGCACCCTCACACAGTGTGTTTGCACTCCATACTCATTTTGGCTTCCTGATTCCGTTCCTGCTTTACTTTAGCTTATACTTGTACTGCTCATGACTCTCTCAAATTACATACTTTCTTTCGGCATTTCTTTTGTCAGGTTTTACTTTCCTCTCACGACATGTTAATTTATTTTCATCATGTCTTGTCTGATGTCGTCCTATTTCACTTCTCTATGTTCGGTTCATCCCTCAGTAGATACCCCATCTATGTCCTTTTGCTTGGATCCTCTCTTGCCCTCATCTCCAGCTCCTTCGATTGCATTGCATTGCATTGTGATGCTTTCCTTGTGGAATCTCTTACACCTAGGATATCTCCTACCTTAGAATCTCCTTCTTCATGTCTTCATGTTCTTTCGCTGAGAATATGCAGGGGATGGTGATCCTGGATCTCAGCCTTCTTCATCCACTCATTATACATATTCAACTAGATTCAATACCAACTCACTGCAAGTTACCCACTGCGTTTCATAGGAAATTTGCGCCATTTTTAATAATTATTGATTGTTTGGAAAAGTTATTGATTTTTTTACATGAAAGCATGCGACACTTCATATTAGTTGAATTAAAAAATTATAAACCTTTTTGATCTTCATCAGCCAACGTTCAATTCCTTCGAAAAAGAAAAAAATTTAGAAGAATGCTGTGTAAATTCTTTATGGTGATAATATGGGAGTTAAACATATTAAAACTTTTTCCATAGAATGTCCCCCTTAATCTGTTATAAGATTACTTGAAGACTGAAGTGCGTAAGTATTCATTTGGTTGCTTCAAGTTATTTTAACATCTGAACACCTGTAAAAAAAGTTAAATTCATCTTTTTGATTAAATGCGATTATAAATTAATATTGATTTTAAATCTACAAACCTTCTCAAAACATCCTCATATATAATATTTTCATTTTTCACATACAAAATGAGTAAAAATAATATCATCATTCTCTAAAGTATGATTTTTTTTTCTTTTTATCTACTAACAAGCAAACGAATCTAGGTGTAATTCTCTCATCCTAGTACTTATTTCTCTTTGCTGGTGCCAGGGAGCTTTTGGAAAGAATGTGCTGTTTGCTTTCGGCTTGGCAACATACCTGATGCTTGGACTAGGAGTGGTATACTTCTATATCTCTCATATACTCGCTGGATTTCTTGTGCATTTAGTCACTCAGGTTCCGTTAGCCTTCTACTTCATTTAAATTTGACTTCTCTTTTCCTCTTGAAGAGTATATAAGAGCATAAGACCCTCCTTGATTACAACAATCTTTGAGCCCTGAACTGGATGTACAGAAAACCACTCCATTATAAACTTTTATGCCCTTTTTATCTTGACCTCATTGGTGAAGTTTTCTTTTTGTGCATCTCAATTCTGTACGGTTAGAACAAGCAAAATGATCCCCTTACACTTTTTAAATGCGTCCATACATATTTTTCTTAGCGGAGAACGCAATCCTTTGAGCGTATAAGTCTCAACTTATTTTCCCTCTTCCCCGAGTCATCTCACTGGTCTGAAACTAATGAAAACTGGTCCTGGGAGTCTCGGTTTGCGGGCAATTTCGACCTTTCAAGCTGAGAAATGCCCTAGAGATTCTCCATCATTTGTTATATTTAGAAAACTAGCAAACAATGGCGAGAGAATCAGGGAATGATAGCGGGAGAGCTACCAAACCTCATCTCCAAAGCTTAAAGAATTGGTATTTCTCCACCTGTTTCCATGATAACAAAGGATTAAAAAGGTCAAGGATTTCAGAAGTTGACAGACTAATGCTTTGTTTGGAACGGTTTTCTTACTGTTTTCTGAAACAACTGTTTACTATAAAAATTTCTCATTCCAGAAACTTTTCTGCTTAAAATCTAATTTAAAAAACAGAAAGAAAATTATCCCAAACAAAGCCTAAATTAGATGCTAAGTCTTAAACTGAATTAGACACGCTTAAATAGCCTATGGACCCTTTAATTATTTACTTTGAATATAATATTTTTCTCATCTTTCTTAGCTTGGTGGACCATTATCACTTCCCTGGGGCCTGTATGTGCTAATATGCCAGGTATTTTGCCCCCAACAATGGCGTAATCATCCTTGAATGCTTATGAAAAAAGTCTAAAAATCTTATTTACTCATCTGTTCCACAGAGAACTCCAGAGAAGCCATGCCTAAATGATGTTACAGGGGTGGGAAAATTGAGGCAAACAGCTTTAATAGCAACTATTTCTCTTGTTGTTTTTACTCTTCTTCCAGTGTGGGATGAGCTTGCTGAGGAGTTAGGTATAGGCCTTACAACTGCATTTTGACTTAGTTTTGCTGAAATTTTGGCTTTATATGGAAACCCAATTTTGTATTGATTTTGATTGTATTGAACAAATAAGTTTTCATGCAATTATGCATCAATAAATGTTGACCTAATTGATCAAAGTATATTGTAATTGTCTTTCTTTGTAGATTTTGAGTTCATATTAGAAATCCATTTTGATGGTTGCAGTTGTTTGCAAAATTATTGTATGTAAAATAAATTTTTATGAGTATGATGGGAGTGTATTATTTTTTTATTTTGAAAATTTGTCAATTTTATTATAATTATCGCAGTCTAACATATTTGATTGCAAAAATCGTAGCGCCGTGATTATTTCTACTAATTGAAAAGCAAATGCAGGCCTCTCAAAATGCTCTCTTAGGCTTCGTTTGGGACAGCTTTCTTATTGCTTTTTGAAGTATTTTTTTAATTTATGTTATAAAAAATTATTTTAAGAAGCAGTAAGAAAATCATCTCAAATAAAGCCTTAGAGGATTGCTTTGCAAATTGGATCACTACTTGAATTTGTTTTCTAGTTTTGTTCTAAAAGAATTTAAGAATTAGGGCTATGGGTTCTTTATATGCTATGTTTTTGAATAATCATGGTGTCATAATTTTATGAATAAATATATTTTATACCACATGAGTTTATAGTTAATAGCATATAATTTCATATGATTTAAAAGTATATCATCATTTTATTTTTCTAAGTGTTAAATAATAATAATAATAATAATAATGTTATTTATCACTATGTATTGATTCAAATCTGATTTCTATTTTATTTTATGCATAACTACTCCTATCTTTCTTAACATAAGTCAAATCTAATACCTCTATTCTCCTAACCGGGTCATCGCAAGGCCGCCGTTTTATGTGACCAAACCATCTAAGGCGACTCTCTCTAATCTTATCTTCTACTGGAACTACTCCAACCTTTTCACTATGGGTATATTAAATATTTTCTTTTTAGAAAAAAATTAAGCATCAACTTTCATATAACTATCACACTAGTTATTTTATATATTAGTTTTGTATAAAAATTTAGCACGTACATAATAAAAATCGTTAGAAGCCGTATCTTTTTATGTGAAAACTCCATTGTTGTTCGAAGATCAGTGATTAAACCAAAGGGTTCAACTCAATCACAAGACATTTGAACTCTTTGCTTTTCAATTTTAACTATGATATTTATGAATTGATCTTGCTCTTAATATTTTTCAAGAGTTAAAATGTCATTATAACAATCATTAGTAGTTCCTATAGATTATTCATAATAAATCTCAATGATATTAGAGATACCATCTTCAATGAGGATATTAAATGACAAAAAAAAAAGTGAAAATAAATAATTATTAAGCACATACATTATATAATATTGTACTTTTGGTAAAAATTTTGGCCATTAATGTTGTCTTCGACTCTCTTCGCCCTACTCTCTCCAAGAGATCAACTAGATCTTCTATAAAACAACCCTGTTAAGAGGTTCTTTGAGGCTTTCTCTAACTCTCTCATTCTGTTTGCTATTAGGGCTCAATCTAAATATATAGTAAAGCCGTAATATCTTTCATAGGGCTGCTAATGAACCGAGCTGAGCCGAGTCGAATAGAAGTGTGTTCATGTTTGAGTTTGTTTGTTATCAGCTTTTTCAAGTTCGGTTCGAGTTTGAAATGAGCTTTTTTGTTTGTGTTCAAACTTGGTTCGTTTAAATTAAATGGGTGCTCATGTTTAATTCATATTTGGTTCATTTCGTACTTATCGAGCTTTAAATAAATAAGTCTTATCAAACTATAAATGTGCTCTACTTGTAGATGTAAATTAACTTAACAAATGAGCCTTGTCGAGCCTTCTAACGAACAATTACATCGAGCATACTTGTGAACATATCTAGCTAAGTTTTTTAACTATTAAACAAGCTCGTTCATGAACAAACGATCTATGATTCATCTTATATTTGTTCAGAGAGCGGGTTGTTCGCGATATTAGGTGGATGCGGGAAGTAAAAACAAAATTATTAAATGATTTTAGATGGGATTAGTGAAAATAAATTATTAAATTATTAAGTTTAACAATATATATATTTTTAAAACTCTAATATAGATCTAATAGAGCTCTAATGAAGCTTCTTAACGAGCTTGTTCAGGACCTTTAAACGATACTGTTTATGAACATAAACGACTCGAACGCCGAATTATTCAAGCTCGTTTATTTATCTATCGAGTATTTATCAAAAGTATTCAAGCTCGTTCGTTACCTCATCAAACTAACATGAATGAGCTCTTATCGAGCCGAGCCACGAGTAACTCATCAAACGTTCGGTTCATTTATAGCCCTAATCTTTCATAAACAAACTAAAAATCTAGCATAACATGTCAAATTTTGCCACCACATAGCTGATATTTTTATGTGAAAAAAAAAAGTAAACTATAACATTAAAAAATAATAGTTTTTGTGCTATTTATTTAAATATAAGTGTTCAAACTATAAATAGAATAAATCTGAATGATTTTTGAAATACTTCACCCAAAGTAATTCTTTTATTTAACAAATCAATTTGAAAAATTATAACGTAGAAAAGGGCGAATTGTTGCGTCCGGTCACCGGATGTTCGGACATCCAATCCGGTGATGCCACATCACTCAAATACACTAAGTCCCGGTGTATTTTGGTGACGCGACGATACCGGATTGATGTCCAGACAAATCCTGACACCGGACGTATCAATTTGCCCCAGAAACGACACTTATAAATACGTAAAAAGAATAAAAATATATGCTAAAAATGTATACTTCTTAAATTAAAATCATACTTGAGTTATAAGAAAAAATATTTATTTTACTAAAATTCAACAAATACTTCAATAAAAATAAGAAATTTTCAAAACAAGGGCTATTTTTTATATGAAAATGAGTAGTTAAAAAATTTAATTAGTCAACTTTTTTATGCCAAATTATTTTTTTATGCATATTTTTTATAGTCCTCAACAATAGAAAAATCTCTAAAATAATCTAATTTCTATATAAATTAATTTGCCCTATTCATCATTATTCTTATAGCGGCCACCACCCACCATCGTTGTTATCAGCAGCCAAGCTCGCTACCCACCATTGTGTCAATTTTGACCATTAAGAACTAGTTGTGTCAATATTTGACACGACATGAAAATCCGACCCGATTTCAAAACGGGTCGGATTCAGGTTCCAAAAATCGACCCATTTGAAAAATGGGTCGGTTTCGGGTTGACCGATGGGTTGCCGGGTAAACCAGCAAACCCGTTTAAAATCAACTGCCACTGCCCCGCCTGCTCGTGCACCGCGCCGCTGCTGCCTGCACCCTACCTGCCTAGCTGCCCGCACGACAGAGCCTACCAGAGCATGATGCCTCGCCTGCTAGCGCCGGTGCCCTGTACCCGAGGTTGCCTGCACACGCGCCTGCGCACACCCGGGCACCTGCCCATGCGCACACCAGCGTTCGCCCGTGCTCACCAGTGCGCACCCGTTCTCTCCGCGTGCACCTGCCTGCACGCGCCCGTGCCCGCGCGTTTTGCAGTCCCGTGTCGGGTCGGGGTCCGGGTCCAACCCAGCAACCCGACGAGTCGGGTCCGGTTCCATGTCTGACACCGTTTATATACCTGCGGTCAGTTAGGGTTGCCCATTTGAACCCGGTCAATTCCGGGTTCGAACCCAACCCGACCCGTGAATCAAATTGAACCCTATTAAGAACGCAATATTTTTTTTATCTTTTTGGTTAATGTGGTTAAGCCTAATGTGCTACGATTGTTGTTGAAATTGCTATACTTCTTGTCCTCTTGCCTCCACTTGCATCCCCTATGCCCTTACACCATTAAAAAATAATAAATAATAAATAATATATAATAATATAATAATAAATATATAATAATTAATAATAATTAATATCTATTCATTTGAGAGACACCAATATTTATAATATTTAAATAACGTTAGGGACTGTTTGGTTGCTGAAGAATCGTCACCGGGTACGACTGGGTGAAGAAGATGGGCTAGGAAAATGCAGGGTCTCGTTGGAGGATTAGAGTGGGAAATGGCAAAGGTCGGGATTGCTTGTGGGGTTGTGTAGTTCGTGTTATTTGGGTGTGAGGAAGAGGCTTACGGTGGAGTGCTGATTTGGAAGATATCTAAAGAAAGTCGGAGATTGAGGTCGGATGGGGTTTCAGAGGTTCAGGGTAGAAACATTGATTACTTTGAGTGATAGATAGAACAACGACG